AACATTGTACTCGTCTGTAGTTTCTCTGTCAAGCGGACCAGTAACCACTAAAGAGTAATAATTTCTATAGTTTGTGTCCAGTTTAAATGGAGTCTCATTTGCAATCACAGCTTTTACTGCCCCGTTATTCCCACCATCTTTATCCAAAACCGAGACAAGTGCAATGGCTGCACCTAGTTCCGCGTCTTCGTTCACTGTATTTAGTAGTGACGTTACCTTGATCTCAGGAGCGTTGTCATTTAGATCCAGCACTTCTACCAACACTTTACAATGAGCAGACATCGGAGGCTGGCCTTTGTCAGTGGCCTCAGCATGAATCTCAAATGCATGATTTTCTTCGTAATCGATTTGACCTTTAATTGAAATCGCTCCCGTTTTAGAGTCTATTTGAAATACATTTAAAACATGATCCTGACCTTTACTTCTAAAAGAATATTCAGTTTCAGCATTTAATCCGTCATCTGCGTCTGTTGCATTTAAAAATATAATTGTTTTACCCATTGGTAGATTTTCATGAATCTGTGTTTTATACAAAGCGCTACTGAAAACCGGAGCGTTGTCATTAATGTCTAAGACATTTATAATAATTTGCAATGTTCCTGACTTGGGTGGGTTTCCGCTGTCGATAGCAGTCACTGTAAGATTAACAGTAGGTTGTGTTTCTCGGTCTAGAGCTTTCTGTAGCACCAGCTCGGCAGACACACTATCCCTTCCTTTGTGGACCTCTAAAGAAAAGTGATCATTTGGACTCAACTTGTATGAACTAACGTCATTCTTTCCAACGTCGAGATCCGATGCCCCTATAAATCCAAATTTCCCCCCTGGCACAGTACTTTCCGCAATATTAAGATACTGCAAATTCTCAGGAAAATGTGGCACATTATCATTAATATCGACTACATTTACATCTAAACGATAAAGCTTCAGTGGATTGTTGATCACGGCCTCTACGCTAACAGTACATATTGCAGCTTTTGCGCAAAGCTCCTCACGGTCGATTCTTTCACTGACATAGAGACTACCCGTTTTCAAATTTATATCGAAATAATTTCTCTGTGATCCGCTCACAATCTGAAACATACGCGTCCTCAAGTCATGCACGTTAAGATTTAGATCTTTAGCGAGATTTCCCACAGTAGTCCCCGGGTTTACCTCCTCTGATACAGAGTAAGAGAGCTGCCCAGTCACCACTTGCCAGCAGCAATCCAAAAGAACAACGACTACATAAATCCCAAAAGAACTGCGTATCCTCCCTGTCGACATTTTCTATCATGTGCGAGCACAGCATATGGATCGTGGTCTTCAAGGTGAAATTAGAGTGGCAGAATCCAGATTTCCGTGTATATAAGAAGTAAAGGACAAAGCGATGATCGCACAATGTATTCTCATACTGCCCCTCTTGTAACAAAGCCCTGCAAAGCATCATCGTCACCATCATCTAAATCTAGGAGGAGCTTCGAACAACCAAGAGCACTATGAAAATGTGATGGTCTACAATGTCCCCATGTGGTCATTTAAAAATACTACATTATCACAAAACAATCTCATAAGTTCGTTTAAGCCTTCAAGATAAATGCATCAAGATGCCAATCTGGTAATGGCAAATAATGTCAAGCTCCCTTATATATTTATTTAAAGACAGGTGTAGCATATATATAAACCAAATTGAATTAAAACTTGCCTTATCTCCTTTTCACAAAACATGAAAATATGAGCAAATATGAATAATACAACTGTCAAGGCGTATATCAGCTTAATGTGCTATCTGTCTATCCTTTGAGTAACCAGAGACAAAGAGCAATGCACATATCAGAAATGTGACTTAATTATTATTATAATTATTGCGGCCTTCAGATCACATTTTTATATATACTAGAATGCCTACACCAGCACCATGGACAGCTACATGAACGCACTGCTGTCCAAATGATGGATATTATTAAATTGGCACAGCTAAACATTTTAAAGCTGAAGCATATATATATTTGGAATCTAGTTTAAATCAGAAGATACACCATGCTAAGATAAGAAAAAATGGTACCGTTTAATCTGCAATGACGAGGAATGACAATATGCAAGTATTTTAAAATTTCATGGACTCACCTTTTCTTTGGTAGGTAAAGTCTGAGTCCTGGTAAAAGTGTCTCCTTCGTTAATACTGATCAGTTCTGCATCTACTGGTGGAAACGAGGCGGGGAAAACCACTACGTCACTCTTGAGCGTGTCTGAGCTGAAACATACGTCATACTGCTGAGTAGCTTTAGAGTAAGACCAGCTCCCGTCAGGGTGGGTGGTGATCATGGGGGCGCTGTACCTGCTGAAAGTGCCGTCTGTCCTGTGGCATCTGACTGCTATTAAAGTGATGAGGCTGAGCAGAAAGATGACGGACACCGACACAATGGCGATCAGCAGATACAGGTTCAAATCCGAGAAGCTGTCCTCCTTTACAGGCACATGTCTGAACTGAGTCTGGATTTCAGCCGTGCTTTCAACCACCACCACATCAATAGACACAGTAGCTGACAGGGAGGGTTCTCCGTTATCAGAGACCAAGACCACCAAGGGGTGAGTTTTAAGGTCATTGTCACTCAATCTCCTCTTAGTCCTGATCTCCCCGGTGCTGGTTCCGATCCTGAACAAGTTGTTTCCTTTGGGCTCAGACAGGTGATAAGAAAGCAGCGCATTGTATCCAGAGTCTGCGTCTACAGCCCTGATCTTTGCCACAAAGTATCCCGCTTCAGCAGAGTAGGGGATGCTCTCACTGTTAACGGAGCCGTGCTCAGAATATGGCGCGAGAATCGTAGGACTGTTGTCATTTTGATCGAGGATTAAAACGTTGACAGTGACGTTGCTGCTGAGCGGAGGAACACCAGAATCTGTGGCCTGAACTTTAAACTGGAATGTTTTTAACTCCTCATAGTTAAAAGACTGCAGGCTGATTATATCTCCTGTCTCCGAGTTGATATTAATCATTGTAGATAACAGCAGCTGGTTATTGCCAATTTTTAACAATGAATAGCTGATTTGGCTATTTTGGTCTATGTCTGCATCAGTTGCAGTCACTCTTTTAATGACTGCTCCCACTGGACTGTTCTCATTCACATAAACATTAATTACGGCCTCCGTGAACAGAGGTGCATTATCATTGACATCAGAAACGTGTATGGAAACTACACTTGTGCTGGTAAGTGGTGGAATCCCTTTGTCATTAGCGATTATATTGACATTGTAAATAGAGAATTTCTCCCTGTCTAGAGGTCCATCAACTAACAGCGAATAATAATTTTTGTAGTTAGTTTCGAGTTTGAATGGCGCTTTGTTTTTAATTTGGATCTCCACATCACCGTTTTTTCCACCGTCTTTATCGAGGACAGATACAAGTGCAACTGCGGTGCCTACAGGAGCATCCTCTTTTACCTTCCTATGTAATGACGTCACCGTGATCTCAGGAGCATTATCATTTAAGTCCACCACTTCTACCAGCACTTTACAGTGAGCGGACATCGGAGGATGCCCTTTATCACTGGCCACAACACGTACCTCAAAAGCCCTCCTCTCTTCAAAGTCTATTTTCCCTTTGACCTTAATGACACCAGTCTGAGGTTCAATTTCAAATACATCAAGTACGTGATCTTGGTCTTTGCTTCTCAGCGAATATACAATCTCACTGTTTAAACCCTCATCTGCATCAGTGGCGTTCACTGTGATTACCTTTAACCCCAGTGGAATGTTTTCTGGAATTTTTGTTTTATACAAGGATTCACTAAAGATCGGAATATTATCATTAATGTCTAATACATTAATAACGAGTTGCGAGGTGCCGGATTTCGGTGGGGTCCCTCCATCTACAGCTGTCAGTGTCATAGTGATGACTGCCTGCTTTTCTCGGTCTAAGGCTTTCTGCAGCACCAACTCAGCAGACACACGGTCACCTGCTTTGTGCACGGCCAACGAAAAATTTTCATTTTGGCTTAATTTGTAAGTGCTTACTCCGTTTTTCCCCATATCCGCATCAGTTGCTTCGGATAATTCAAATTTCACTCCAGGCAATGTGCTCTCTGCAATATATAAATTTTGCAGTTTGGTTGTAAACAAAGGAGCATTGTCGTTTACATCTAAGATCTCTACATCAATACGATAAAGCTTCAATGGGTTATTTATTACGGCTTCTACACTTACTGGACATTTTAGTTCCTCCGAGCAGAGCTCCTCTCTGTCTATTCTCTCACTGACATACAGAACACCAGTCTTTAGATTTACCTCGAAAAATTTTCTCTTTGATCCAGTAACGATTTGAAACATTCGAGATTCCAACTCTTGTGAATTCAGGTTTAGATCCTTAGCGATATTCCCAACAGGAGTCCCCGGGTTTACCTCCTCTGAGATTGAATAGGAGAGCTGCCCAGCCACAGTCTGCCAGTAAACATCCAGTAGAAAAAGGCACAAATACATCCCAAAATAGCTCAATTTAAAGGGCGACATCTCTGTTCAATATGAACAAAGCATAAATTTGAGCTCCAGTGGCATTCAGATATTTAGGAAAGAATGGACGATCAGGGAGCTTTTTGACTGTAGTACTCTGTTTGTTCCACCGTCGTTTGAGTCTTATAACAAAGACAGAAATCGTTCATATCGCTTGTAAACGGGAGGGGCCAAGTTCTATTAAAGAGCAGGGCTGTAACTAATGGACCAACAGCGACGCCACGTGGTGAAAAGAGCGCAATGCAGAGGCCAGTGAAAACAGTTGCTTCTCCTGCAGCCATCAGGTCACACCAAAGGTATCTGAAAAGCTTAACATCAGAAATCGGAACAACTCTTCTCTGCACCATGGACAACACCTGAATGAGTGTCCTTGTAGAAAGTGATAGTATCAAATACATCATATCCCACGTTACTCTACCTTTTTCCACTAAACCTCTTTGTTCCATTCAATTTAAGAGTTATTTGTAGATTCTATTAACTACTAATGTGAGCTTAATAAACGGATAAAAAGTTGGAGGCTGCCTGAAATTTTTAGCATTCAGCCATGCTTATATAGCAATGTGTGAATTGCACCACAAGTTTTATCATGTCTACAAATTTGTATGTATTTTTCCCCTAAGAGTGTGTAAAAACAAACAAACAAACAAACAAACAAACAAACAAACAAACAAACAAACAAACAAACAAACAAACAAACAAACAAACAAACAAACAAACAA